CAAGTCCAGACAATACAGCTCCCGGAATACTCTACCTTCCGCTCAGTCCTGAGGGCTTAGATAGGCCTTCATACCTCTCCACTGGGCCATTACCACAAGTTCCAAACTAATTTTCATTTCCCTCAATCTCACTCTCTAATCTACTAATCTTTCTAAAATCTAAATTTCAACAGGAAGGGGCAGAGTGTGAGGAATCAATGCCACTCCCTCATTGCCTATAGAATAAAATTCAAGGCAAGACATTAGGGAGGATTAACAAATTCAGACATGTACAAAATGCTACAGACACTGAAAAACGCAAATTCTAGGAGAAAGACCAGGTCATATGAGATTTAGGACTTACCAGTAGGTTGAGGGAATAAAAATGTACACATACAAATGTATTATGCAAAGTGAAAAACCAGTCTCAAAAGTTGCCCACTACATGATTTTATTTATATAGTACTATGGAAAAGGCAAAAATGTAGGAAGAAAACATGTAATTGTCAGAAGTTATAGGTGGGTCCAAATGCACACAGCACAGAAGAGAATTCTCTGGAGTGCTCAAACCACCCTGTAACCTGTCTGTGGTAGCGGTCACCAGGATCAGTGCACTTCCCAAGTCATGTCATCTCATAAGCACAAGCTCTGGTGTTATCCAAGAGGCTTGGGAACAGCAAAACTCCTACTATTCCTTGGACAATTCCAAGTATTTAGATTCTTCTTCCTAGGAATCTGGAACCATGGCCAGTCAAATTATATATTAAACAGACCAAGGAAATGTAATTTAACCTATAAATCAGGAAGCCACACAAGATTTTAAAAGAAGAGTCACAGATAAATAGAACACAGGTTCTAGGTACTGGGTAATAAACTTGGGTATGGAAGCACAGAAAGGAGGCCCTGTTCCTGCAAGAAGCTAAGAAAAAGATAATATCTGCAAATAGCTAAAGAAACAGAACAAAGAAAGGAAAGATACACAGTAATTTAGCAAGCATCTCCCTCTAAGAACAAGTCTTTAAAAGCTTGTTTGGCTAATGCTACCTCATTTTCAATCTATGCTATTCTGGATAGTTCTTACAGTACACAATAGTGTGTTAATCAGAAAAATGGTTTTCACCCACCTTCTGGGTCTTCAACGTTCCAATTTATTTTACTCTTTCTTCAACACTACCTTATAAGAAATCTTGTTGCTATTCATCTCTTGACATAATTACAAAGAACTATATGAATACCTCATCCTTAGAAAGATGAAAATACTACCATTTTTGGCAAAATGATACTGATGGTATCTTGGAAAATGCATTCAATTTAAAGAAAAAGAACAAGAAAGGCAAGACACAATTTTATATTATAGCCTTTTAAAAGCATGACACTACTGATAACAAAATTTCTTGGAAACGACAAACATAGTAATAGCTAGAAACAAAGGAAATTAATATAGCAGGGCCCCTTTTTGCTAACAAGAGGCTTTAGTTTGGTTGTTCGTTTTGTTTGTTTAACAGATGATAAAGAACGAGGAACTTGATGTCTTGAGCCCATCCTACTTGATTAGAAGTGTGGCCCTCATACAAAAATATATGAAGAATGGTGTCATTGAAAAGGTAACCCAGAAAAACACCCACAAGGAAAAGATGAAAACAAACAGGATTGTCAGTCTTGACTCTGGGTCAAAGGGGCAGGGACAGTAACTTTTGAGAAGTCCTAACAATCAATTTAGCTTCATATAGATTTGCAGTTTGACTTAACATTACCACAGGATCTACAAAACCTCAAACCAAGATTAACATAAAGTCCTTCCAAGTTGGTAAAGTGCTTGGAATCACTGGCAGAAGGAACAGAAATTCATGCTTCAGACACACCTTTATCCCATGCCCAAAGGATTCTTCCGATAAAGTCCTGCCAAATAAGAGCTTAAATTTCAAATTATAAAGCAAAGAAGGAAACAAATCCTAAGCAGATGTGAAAAGAAATGAAAATTTGGTCAACTACCAAGAAGTCTAATTAGCTATGATGTATAATTTAACTTTTACAAGACAAAAATGTAAAGTCAAAAACAGAAGAAAGACTAATCACATTTTTTAAAACACTTAAAAAAATTGAAAAATATTTTAAAACTTTAAAATCCTTAAGCAGAACTTTTGACATAGTTAAAAAGTGATCAAAATAGAAAACATATTAGCCAGCATACAAAACCATGGTGATGTGGAAGAACTTAAGAAACATGAAGAGAGGATAAAAAAAATATATATATATCTAACATACATATACTAACCCCTAAGAAGAAGAAAAAAAAATGTTAGGATAAGAAATGGTGCAAAGAATCAAAATTCAATCACATAATGGCTAAGAATTTTCTAGAATAAAGAGACATGAATCAGAGTTCATGAAGGACAATAAATCCAAAGTAAGGAGAAAAACACAAATCCATGTCTAGACACATCATAGACACAGAACAACTATGAGAAAGAAAGCGTAAGCATTAAGAAAGAAAAAGCAGATTACATTCAAAAGAATACAGCATATAAATTAGATGACTTCTCAAAAGCAGCATAAAAGCCAGGAAATGGTGAAATAATCTATTTCAAAAAGTAATAAGGAAAAAGAAATTTCAGACCTTCATATTCCAACTTTCATCAACAGTAAGGGAGAGATACTCTGAAAAAATTTAGCCTCTGTTCTCACAAAAACCATCAAGCCTCCATTACACACAAAGAAAAACTGGGTCCTGCCTGGTGTTTCTCTGTGTGCAGACAACCTTGATGCCAGCCTTCTATTGAGTCTCCTGATGTAATACATCTTCACCAATTCATTGCATTAAAAGTCAAAAGTGGAATGTAAGTTAAAAATATCAGAGTTATCCTCAGCACATCTAACTACCTTATCCCTCCCTAGTCAGGGTAACTTAGTCAAGAAACTGTCTTAATGGGACCTTTGGGTAGAATTTGAAAACTAGGAACAAGAAAGAGCAAGAGCAAGCACAAGCAAGCAAGCAGGAGCAAGACTATGAATCAATTAAAGAGTCTGTAGAATATTATGTAAGAGAACAATGGAAAGTTAAAAGGAAGCCATGGAAGACAGTCTGAAGTGGCTCTCAGCAAAGGCAATAGAATTTTCACGCCATGGGGCAGCAAATGACTCACATCACTCATTCCGTGGCTTTTGGTGACAGGTTGAAAAGACGCCAGTACTTTCCATCAATTTAAGAAGTTCAGCGACTAGTATAAGTCTCAATTTCATTTACATTTGTATGATTACAAGTCAGAACAATGTTATAGTTGGCATGAAGTAGTGCTTAAGCGATTAAGCGAGGCAACTGGAAGACTACCCCAAATGTTGTAAGGAAATTCAGAACAAACAAAAAAGCTCACTGAGTGGCTCCAGTGGAAAAATATATTGCTCAGAGCAGAACCACAACTCTAAAGTCACAAATCTAAAAGTTATAGATAGTTGATAAGCAATACAAAATAATTCTGACCTATATAAATATGCAAATAAATTCTGTCCTATAGAGGTTTTGACTCCTCCAAGTCAGAGAGTTAGTTCAGTGGTTCTGCCGCCTGCCTTGCAAGCACAAGGACCCAAGTTCGATCCCCAGTACCCCAAAAAGAAATAAATAAATAAATTGACTCCACCAGGGAAATCCTAGTGTTGCCTGTTTTTACATTTATTTCACCATTCCTTTTTATTATATAAGTTTGCATTTCTCTGGATTCAATTTTGAACCAGTTGTAACATCTGTCTGGTTTTTTCATTAATGAATTGAGGAAAATTCTTAATAAATACATGCATTTATATGAGACTTCTGATTTTACCATTTTTTAAAATTAGCCTTTAACATCAAAGCAAAGCCTCTAAAAGAGACCATATTTCTGAAATTCTTCTTTAAATGAATAGTTTATAAAAGTTGTGGCTCCGAACATGTTTCTTAAGTATAATCAAAAAGTTTCAAAGATTGCACTAAAGCACAATCTGTTGGTTTTAAGATGAATAATGTGATTTAAACTTAAATGTGTTAATCAGAACAAAATTTAAGAAAATTACACAATCTACTAGGAATTATCATAAATGTTCAACAAAAGGAGTAATTGCTGTATACTCTAATATGCTTATTAATCATACGTAAAACAATGATATTCTTAGCATATTAATTGGGTCCAGACAAAAGGCTTCTTTTGCCTTTTATGACATTACCAAATGAATTTCCAACCCAAAAATAACCTTACATGTAATGCTACTTGTATTTTTACAGGTAGACAGAGATAGACAGAATTGAAGACACTCTACTACTAGAAATTAGAAAAACTAGAACTTCAGGGCTGGGTCTGTCTAACTTCACAGACTAGTACTATTGTATACTATTCCATTTCTGTGCAATAAATTTCTTCACTAAGTCTCAAATTTAGATGGCAAACTTTAGTATTACCACATTTATAGAATTTTACCTGGCAATAGAAAGAAAAGAAGAAACACACTCCAGTGACTATAGTAGCTGATTTTTTTTTTATCCCTGTGTTCATTTTGGTAAAACAGAAAGGTAAACAATCTTGTCATCTCAGAATGATTTACTTGAAAGGGTACAAAATTCTTGTATGGCTATTTGTCCTAGAAAACAAATCACTTCTGAAAATTCAAGATACAAAACTGAGTTTGGTTTTTGTTGTTGTTAATTACATGTATCTTGCACTTTTGAAAGACTTCTCCAGCATTTTTAATATAACTGCTTATTTAAATTCATTTACTGAAGTTCCACCTGAATTCATACTCTAATAACATCATTAGTGCATTCTTCTTCAAATAGTTCATGTTACCTTTTGATAAATGGCCATAGCAAAAGCAATTCCAGAACAGTCTCACAATCTACAATTCTATGAAATTTCTAAAACACATTACCATAATGTCTTCAGATCATCATGCTTATTTTAAATAATTATATTTAAATATATTCCTATCAAAATTCAACAAACCAAACTGTACAGTGTTTTCCCCTTTTACGCACTCTCGGGTATAAAAATACTTACCCCATGTTCCCTAGCAGCTCTGACAACTTTGAGGAGGTCATCTTCTTCAAAAAATGGTCTAACGGCATCATGGATGATCACAACTTGTGGCTTGGAGAGTCTGGAGTCAGTCTGGTCCCCGGCCAGTGCTTTTAGTCCATTTAAAATTGACCTGTGGCGTGTCACTCCAGCTTCAACTAGTGAGATGCCTTTATGTTGATACTTCTGAATGATACTTTTCATTGTTTCCATGTTCTCTCCAGTTACTGCCACAACAATGTCCTTTATCCAACATACTCTAAAAGGAAAGTACATATACGTTTCACATACATGAATCCTTATCATCCAATGCTAATAACAAAATTAAATTACAGTACTAATATGTATCATAGTATTTACATAGGGATATTAAAAACGGAAAGCTAATAACTAAAGAAGCTCTATGCATTTGTCCAGTAAAAAGTGTATGAAACAAACAACATGTCACACTGTAAATAGAGTTTGGTACATCATACAGTATATAAACAATATGCTATTTATCAGCTTTATGAGGAATTTTTTTCACTTTAATTTGAACAGTTGGTGTGTCAGTAGATTGAGGGAATAGAGCGTTGGAATATGCTTTTAAATTTTCCTACTACTTCTTCCCCTCGATGGGATGGAAGTACATTTTAATTCTAAGTCAGCTGTTTTTTTAAGAAGTCCACTGAGTTGCCAACCAGATTTTCAAATATGAAAGCTGGATAAATCATCTCAACACAAATCTTGCCTACATCAAGATTAAATATGCAGCTTAAGTCAGGTACCATAATAATCAAGTATGTATGAATAAGTCAGGGAAATTAAAGAAAGTGTTGAGTCATGAAATATAAAGCGGTGAAATATAAATCAATTTTTTTTCTGTTGTAAACATTTTGCTCAAGAAAGACCTATTGACTTAATACACTGCCAGCAATCCAGATCAGTTAAGTGGCTACTGAAGTAAAGAAGGCTGCTGCCCAGGAGCAAATGTCACTGAAGGTCCAATGTTCTGCAGCCATAAGGGCCCATGCCGAGATAACTGCCTCTGATCTCTCATATCATCTCTATAAAATGTCTATTTAAAACAAAATGAAATTATAACAGAAAACAAGAATGAATACTTGACAAATCTTCTTTAAATAAAATCTAATTTGCCCCTCAAAAAAACTGTAATGGAATTTTTAGCCTGTGGGACCATGGATGTTCACGCTAGACCAGCTAACTTGAGAATATATCTACTGTCACATAATTAAAACAATTGCTAACAAAATTTAAGATGTTACTCTATCTTAAGCATTTTTCATATTTTATGTAATCTTCACTGTAACATTTCTACACTGTCTTACAGTGTGAGAAACAAGTCAGAAGGTTATGAATATACAAATAAAGATCTCTGTATTACCATTTCATCCCCAAAAGGACTTGAAATAGAAAAAAATACTATTTTTCATAAAGACAACAAAACATTCTATTTCTGTAAACTCCTATACATCTCTTCCTCAGAGAAAGCTGATCTGTTATTTCCATTGCTTTATACCTAGTTCTTAGTAGATGCTCAATAAATATTTGTTGAATGAATAAATGACCAGGAGCAGTATAATATCTTACAAGGCACCACAGGCTCAATAATGATGAAAATAAAATGTGCTCCTCCTTACTATAACAACAAAACAAAAGTACAAATAAAATTAGCATACTCTATGTAGTTTTATTTTGTGTTGTTTTTGCAGTACTGGGGACTGAACCCATGGTCTTGACACTGAGCTAAATCCCCAGCCCTTAATGAGAGAAGGTCTCATTATGTCACTAAAGTGCCCAAGCTGGGCTCAAGCACATTTTCCTGCCTCGGCCTCACAGAGTGCTGGGATTACAAACACGCACCAGCATGCCCAGCTGCAGTGCAGTTTTATCTGCACTATAGTAATATACTGATTCTATACTGATTCTAGGTCCTAAGGTTCTTGGAGATCCAGGATTACTTTTATATTTTATCACACACCTCTAGAGAATTTTAATCACAAATGAAAACAATGCAGTAACACAGAATGTATGCCAAAGAACTGCCTGTACTTTTTTGTAGTCCATCCCTGCAAATTTAGCAGTTCTGGAACATAGACTGCACTTATAGTGTAAAACTCCTACTGTTCACAAAGGTCTTCTCAAGTGGCAAGTACCTGTTCCGTGAGCCCTGGTCAACATGAGGTTTCCCAGGTCCTGGCTTCATGGCCACAGCTGTTACCCATTACTCTCTCTGAATCCCATCTTCCCCATACTTTCATGATTCAGCCTCTCTGCTGTCTCCTCACTTCTCCCAATCCTTGCCTGCCACTTTTGGATGTTGCTCCTCGAGTGCGAATTCTGAGGCCCCAGCCTACTGGCTCTGGAGTCGGCCGCAGGATCCCTGCCCTGGGCCTCCTTCCCACACACATGACTTGCTCTCTTCCAGGACCCTCTTAGGTCCACGTTCAGCTGCTTCCAAGGGAGGGAACCACATTCTCCCACATGGACGTCTCTGGGCTGCTTCCTCTGACTCTCAACCCTGCCTCCATCCCTCTCCCCTCAGTCCCAACCACTCCTGCCTTAGTCCTCTCAGCTAAGACAGAGCCCCCTTCTGGATGCCCCATGACTGCCCCTCTGCCCCCACTCCGCTTCCAGGAGACTCACCCACCTCCAGAGGCTTATTAAGCATTGTATTGCACCGTACAGCATATATCACTTTTCACCTTCCTCACTAGGCTGCCAACTCATACAGCTAGAACACGAAGGGCCCAGGCTGTCACCTCAATATGACTTTGGAGCTCACATCTTTAGCTTTGCAAATAAACTAACACTGTCACAGTCAAAGAGCACTAACATCCAGGAAAGAAAACACCATTTCAGATTATTGTATCTCCAGGGCCTCACTTATGTTTCCAGGGCTGAACTAAAAGGCATTGCTGCTTTCATAATGAAATAGTCAAATTTCTTATAATTTCTGATAGGTCCAGCAAAAGTAGGCATTCCTTCACCCACCTATCCACTGGGTCACTCAGCAAACATCAAAGCGGTTGCCTGGCATTATGCCTGATTCTAGTTACAAAGTAATAAACCAAACACTGACAATTCCTTACCTCAAAGACTACATTTAACAAATACCTGTTAAACAAATGAATAAAGGGAATTCTGGATATAGATATAAAACTGGATATCCTGGATTCTAGATATAAAACTACTTTTAAGTTTCTAAGAAGTTATTAAAAGCAATCTGCCTGTGTCAATTATTTAAGGTGACATCACATTGAAACACAGAAATTATTGTTCAACCAAATCACTGGCAGGATTTTTCCATAAGGCAAAATATTAATTTTTCCCCTAAACATTCACCTTTGTTACTTTTTTCCATTAAATTTATAGGCACATTTTAGTTATACAATACTGTTACATTCATTATTAGGATCTTGTACCTTTACAAGATGTATCTTGTTTCTTGTTTTTTCCCCACTCCCCTGCCCTCCCTTCACCCCGCTCCACCCTTCTCTATTTACAAAGACTTTGCTTCCATGTTTTTCCATTTCTCATATTTTTTCTTCTACCTTTATTACTTTTTGTAACAGACCACCAGGAAAATCAGTTAAGAACAACTTTTAGAGACATTACCTCGATATTTCTAATATAAAATGAATTGAATTAAATATTAAAATACAGAAGAGGAAGAAAAAGAAAAGGTTATCATATGACAAAGTAGCCATCAAATATCTGTTCAATGCATTGATGTATTTACTCCCAATTTTACCAGAATGCTTTACCATAGCTACAAAACAACTCCCTCTGTTCCAAACAGAAAATAGTCACAGTAACTGTAATTATAAGCAGATACCTGTAACCTTAGACTATTTCAACTGTATGAGATTCTCAATATAAAATAATGCTTTAAACCAGTGTTCCACAAACTGTAAATGCCAGGACCCATTAGTTTACTGAGAAATCAACTCATAAGTTAAAACAAACACTATTAGGTAAATAAACAAAATAGAGAAGAAAAATTAAAACGCATAGCACATAACCAGGGAAAAGTCCAAAATACCCATTGATTTAGATTACTCAAGCTACTCAAGAGATAACGGGCTTATGCTACTTTGTTCAGCAACCAACAATACACCCAGTGCTTTCAGGCCTTTATAAGCACTGTCTGTATTTCAAAGGATTTATCCACATTCTTTTCTAGTTATAGAATTAAATTTTAATACTGTAAAAAGCTTTTAATAATGCAAAATCATGGGACTGAGAAAGGCCTAAGTACCTCACACAGTGCCTACTGAGCAAATATTTGCTGAATAAAGACATCTTGTCTACCTCTTAGCTGAAGGCAAGTCCACACCAAAACCCCAGCAACCTGATCCTATCACGTTCTCCTGATTATTTCCTTCCTAGCACATTCCACAGGCAAATATAAACCTAGCCCCAAGCTCTATAACACCTACAGACATTTTGAGGAAGAAATGTAATATCTCAGAAGTAATTTTCTTCTGAAATAATATTACTTACAAGCAAACCCTATTCAGACAGTTTAATAAGATCAGTAGAAAAAAACATTTTTAATGCTTTTAAAAAAGAAAAAGCATGAAAAAATCAAGCCCTGGTAACACCTCTAAAACATTTTCTCATCCAGGCTGCAGAAATTGGCTTCAAACGAAAGGTGGCAGCTGTTCTGTCATGACAGCCTTTATGGAAACTTGGCTTCTGAACTGCTCTCTGGCCATTGTCTATGGATTTCGATCTCTCCATACCCACCCTGCTTTTTTAGCAGCCAAATACTGAACTGGTGTGATAGGCAGGTTCCTTATGCCTTCGAAATATCAAAATGTCCTTTCTATGGTCTGTGAAAACTTCCAGTTTTCATCAAGCCTCAGCCTACTAATTAGTCTTGCTCTTGTTCTGAATGAGTCCCACAGGGCCATTGGAAACTCAACACAAAGTTCTAATCACGTGATCGATCGGTAAAAATACCGTAGCCCTCTAGTCCTTTCTTTGATTCAGACTTGACTCTATTCTTAATGAGGCTTGAGGTCAAACTCAAGTATATGATCACTCAACTAAAAAGTATCTTCCACATCTTTGTCTTTCTAAATTCAGTCAATCACTGAGAACTATTGATTTTATTTCCTAAATATTTCTCTTGTACCACAGTCTGACTTTTTTAGTTTAATTCACACTACAATATTTATCATTTGAACTAACATTCATGTATTTACTTCTACCTGTTTTGTTCAGTAGAATTTAGACAACATAGGACAGAAGAATGTATAAAGTACAAAAGAAAACAAAAATTGAAAAGCAAAAGAAAGCAGTGAATTAAACTATAAGTTAATACACTGCAAAACATACCTTGGTAAATACACACACACACACACCTCGGAATCTTGGTAACTAACCACTGATTTTGCAAGCAGTAAGACAAGGAAGCAACCAAATTTCTCATTCACAAGATTGCGTGTCCATCATCTATCTGTACACATGCAGCTCTACAAAATTAAATTTTAATTTACTGAGGGTTGCTCTATCATGACCAATTCACTCCAATCAAACTAAGAGACTGCAACATGGATTGAAATGCCAAAATATTAATATACAGTGGCAGACATTACTGTCACAAAATCTGGAATGCTTCTTCCCAGTAAGACAGCACAACTTTTTCCTATAGATTTATATGGTGGGCCAAATATAACAAGGTTTTCAATAAGCATGAATCCTATCAAGGAACATGTTATCTTTAGCAAGGCCCTCCACTTAAGAGAGCTCAAAAACTTCAGGAGATAAGGGAAAAGGTCTCCCCCTGCTCAGATCTACTGTCAGGCATTCCCAGCCCAGACAATGAATAAGCACCTCTCATTTGTTACTGACATTCAGTCCCTGTCATCTTGTCCACTTTGCAGCTAGTCCAGGCTATTCAACCCTCCTAAACGACATTTTCTTTAGTTATAGATGTGAAACCAGAAAGTATAAAGCTGGCAGGAATTTTTATCCTATAAGATCCCCCAGGCGCCCTCTCCTCCCCACCCACTCTTTCTCTTTATTTGTGTCCTGACTAAAATCACAGTTCCTTGACCAGTCCATGACCCAGCTAGCTGCAGGTTTCCCAGGAGGTTTCAGGCCATGTCAGGGCTTCGAACATTCTGGGCACTGATAAAAGATGTTCAAATTGCTTAGATTAGGGGCTATTCAACCCTCCTAAACGACATTTTCTTTAGTTATAGATGTGAAACCAGAAAGTATAAAGCTGGCAGGAATTTTTATCCTATAAGATCCACCAGGCGCCCTCTCCTCCCCACCCCCTTTCTCTTTATTTGTGTCCTGACTAAAATCACAGTTCCTTGACCAATCCGTGACCCAGCTAGCTGCAGGTTTCCCAGGAGGTTTCAGGCCATGTCAGGGCTTCGAACATTCTGGGCACTGATAAAAGATGTTCAAATTGCTTAGATTTAGGTTTAGGTTGGCACCCAAAAGAGCGACCATCCTGGTGTTTAATGCTTGTTTCTTTGGAATTCCATGTAGCCCATTGCCAGAGGATTTGGGGTGTACTCCCATATCCAAATTCTCCTACTGCACAGGGAGACTCTCATCAATGGTTGTGAAGGACAAACCAACTTCCTACTTCAGATCCAAAGAATAAATTTTTCTAAACAGTAAAATGTAGGTACACAAGTTGATCAATTGAGTGAATTTTACAGCCAGAGTTGAGTTTTATTTCCATGTACCACTGTCACATGATTTCTTGGACCAATTTTTCCTTATACAAACTCAGGTTTCAAATTGGTAGCTACTAACAGACTAATATCCCTGATCCTAGTTCCTTCTTAGTAAAATGATGGGTGGAGAATCAAAGTTCTCTTAAATTATAACCTGTTAGAAATCATACTTCAGTGCTTTATGAGACTATTAGATTTCATGACTGCTGTTGTCAATTAAGTGAAAATGGAAAGCAAGTGTTCTTTTGCCTTATTTTCCATAAACAAGACCTTTCCAAACATTCTTTCACTTTCAAAGATTTAATTTTGTCTACCTACCTCAGACTTCCTCAGAAGATGCAAAAAGGCAAATGAAAACAAAACTTTTTCCAAAGGAAGGAATGTTACATGTAAAAATGACTACCATTCCCTTCCCTTCTAATTACTAACTAGAGAAAAATCCTGCTGGACAAGATCTATTAGGTCCTACAGAATTATCTGCATAGATGAACTAAGCTGTCACCCTGTCTGTGACACTAGAACACTGTAGGTGCGACTGATTATGAGGTTCAGAGACCCCTCACCAGAGCCACTACCCAGAGAAACAGAAGACTGAGATGTAGTAACGGGCAGTTTCAAAGTCTATATGAGTTTCAGATGTAACCACTGGGCTGATTACATTCATCAAGGGTGATTGTGGTTCTTTACACTTTTATCTTACACACGGTGACATTCAGAAAGTAAAATGACCTTATAATAACTTTGGCCTTTTGGCTGGCGGGGGTGCCCTTTTGGACAACATGCCAAGTCCAGTGGTTCCACAAAAGCCTCCTTCCTGTAAAGGCCATTATCTTCTCATGCAAAAAGATCGTCTCCATCCAGATAAACTTAACTACCATAGCTCCCCACCGGCTTTAAAAAGTAGTTTAATCACCTTGCAAACCTCTATCATTCTGCTACTCCCCACTCCTCGGGAACAAATCCCATTATATTACTCAGGGCTAAGAACAAAGCAAAAATAACATGCTCCTGCTTTTCACCTCCTTGCTACTTCTATCCTGGCCCTTCTGACACCATTCCCTCTGCCTCCCACAGTTCTTGAACCAGTTACCTCCACTCCCTTTTATAAAAGAATAAAAGGTGTACTGGCCTCGATTTCATCCTTAAATCAGTCTGTACTATTGAAAGGATTGGATTAAATTCTGTCTCCACCTTCAGCACCTGGCAACTAGCGCAGTCTGTCTCACAGTGAGCGGCCCTAAGCGTTCATCCCTAAAAGGTCAAACGCCGGGAGAGCCCGACTGACCAGCGGATGACTCGGTGCGCGCATGCGCACAGGCGGGACGCGCCGGGCTCCGCAGCGGCTGCAGCGCAGGTCACCATGGAACTCAGTCCCTCACTTCCCCTCAGAAACCCCGCTCCTGGGCCGCACTTTCCCCACCACGTTATCTGCCTGCACACA